ATTCATTCATATGAGTTTTATCTTTTTAATATTTTTAAATTAAGTATGTGCTAGAAAATTTTAAAAATGCATTCGTTTTAATATAAATAACCTTATAAAATTCGTCATTTAAGAAAATGAATATGTTTTATCCCTAAAAGTTAACTCTATATTTCATCCAATATCAACGTTACCGGGAATTTTGTGTAAAAATCTAGTTATTTCTGGATTCCTCCATCTTGCCGGTTTAGTTTCCTAGGAACCTCTATATGATTAGGTAAACTTATCCTCCATAGAAGGAGCCGCTTATCGTGAGTTTGGGTTTCTATGGCCTTTTCGATATGCTTTCGCGGAAGATCCTTCAAGGTTTGTGTAGTCTTCTCAAGCGAGGTTTGTGGTGAGTATGCTCGAGTTTTAGTTGTGGTTTTACATGTCTTCCTCGGAATTATGATCCCCATAGGTTTGATTCTTGGTTGTGTAGTTGGCAATATCCGTCTCTCTTTTGTAGGGCTTTGTCTTCGGATTTGTTTCGGGTCTGTATTCTATCGTAGTATCCTATCCTTGTATCCCACCCATATTCTACCCATGCATCCCACCCGTGTATTCCATTCTGGTATTCCACCATGTTTAATATAATTTTCAGATGACAAAAAAAAAAGTTAACTCTATATTTATAGTTATGTACGTATCCTAAAACATTTCGCATTCCAAAAACTAAACATATCATAAAAAAAAACTGAATTAATCACAAAACGTGTTTTGATTACTTATGAAAATAAAATATGTTGTTGATAGCTAGCATATGTTTTTTCACTCATCTTCAACTTAATTTAAAGAGAAATTCTCTAAAATACCATATTTTGAAAATTTGTTTTAGAAAATACCACCATTTATTAAATGTTCCAAAAATACCACCAACACAAAAATTAATTTTTAATGGTTTATAGTAAAATATTTTGGGTTTGAGTTAACTACAATATTGTAAAATTAATATATAGTTTTTAGGAGATAGGATTTGGGTTTAAGGTTTAGTTTGAATGTTAAAAATTTATTTAAGTTTTGTGGTATTTTTGGATCATTTACCAAATAGTAGTATTTTTGAAACATTTTAAAAATAATGGTATTTTCGGAAACAAAACTTTAAAGTGTGATATTTTTAATAATTGCCCTAATTTAAATTAATCTAAATCGAGTTTCCTCATAAAGTGTCGACGAAAGGTACTATGCAAACAACTCAAAGTCTTCAATCCATCCGTAAAGAAAGTGCAAGAAAGTGGAATGCGTTGTTACAAGCTAATGATATCTCATCATAAAGGTATGCTTATTCCTGCTGAAAATTAACAGAGCAATAAACTGATGCACATAGACTCCTTGGATATGTCCGGATTTTAGCTTTCACATTTTTGTCATGCAAGAAAAGCTAGAGTTTAATTGATTGATTTGTTAGTAAATTGCGACTTAACATCTCAAAGAAACAAACAAAGAAAACTGATACCATCCTCCACGGATCTGAATTGTTGCAATTTTTCTTTCTTCTCTACTTGTGTAACGCTTTGAGAATGTAACAGACAAAACATCCGTCCCAAAGAAGAGGCCGTCATCAGAAGCTTTGTTGTGTCATACACGTCTTTTGGTGCCTTCACTGAATCACACTTTCAATCGAATGATAAAGAAGAGAGTGAATCGGCATCACTACTTTTTTTCATTTACTACTACCTGACTAATTCATCTTTAATCACATAGCATTTCAAGCAATGGTATATCATTTGTAAGGGAGAAGATATACGAACGGCTCCACTTTAGTGCTTGCTTACCATAATTTATGCGAATTTTGTTGAATATGTTTTGGTTTTTGATATAACTATGTAAGGTTAAGAAGAATCTATTTACAATGTTACTACAGAATTTATAGTTTGCCATATCTACCGAGTAGCTTCCCAAAGTCTATGGACAGACCAAACTCATGCATGCGTTTTTATCTGAAATCATTGAATCTACTTTATGTCAAGACAAGTCAACTTCCTTGTCTCATCTTTAACCATGAACTTTTGAGGGTATTATTAAATATAAAATTATTAAAAACACACTATCTTTTCCTTTTACTTAATTTAATACCTTCTCTTTCATCCTTTTACTCAACTTTTATTAATTTTATACTCTCTTTAAATATAAAATTATTAAAAACACACTCTTTCTCTCTTCAAAAATATCAATTGATACTTTTGATACTCTCTCTCTCCAAATATACTCACTATCTCTTCTCTTTACTCAAATTTATTAATTTTATATTTCAATACACCRCATTATTTCAACCAAAAACACTCTRTTTRTTRRTTTTACTCAAATTTTAATAATTTTATATTTAATGATACCCACCAAAATTTACCAATACGGATGCTATATATTTAGATGAGAAATGACTTAGTGGATTGGAAAATTAGGTGGAAAGTTCTACCAAAAAAAATCTTAATTATTGCAAACAACAATCATTACTCGTTCAATAAACACACTTGCATCATGTATG